ACGGGGGTGATTATCCCAGAGGAGAGACCATAAATGAGCTTAGATGGGATGTGAACAGTTCGCATTATGTGTGCAGTCTGGAACCAGAGTCATCAAGTCCAGATTGGTTCAGGAAAGAGGGTCAGAAAGTCTGTTTACACAAGACTATACTTCACTGGCTTTTGATGTGTGGTTGCAGAGGCTAGACACAAATGAACTGATTTGTTGAGTGCAATATTTTTTAACATCTACAGAAATAAACCAAGACTTGTTAAGAACTCTTGCAGAGATTTATTTTAGATAGCAAAGAGCAGCTTGACACTACAGATGATTAGACACCAGAATGGTTTTGCAAAATAAAATGAGTGGATGCACTGATCCTACATCTTAAATGTACTTCTGTAGTCCAGTTGTTTTCAAGCTGTGTTTCTCAGAGGGATCCAAGGACCTGCCGTTTGATGCAAGGTCAAGGTGGAGCACAGGGTCTCACCTTTTCTATCTCACCACCCCCCGTAATAGTCATATTATAAGGTTTCACACAAGATTTCATTTGAGGGAAGAAAAATAAGTTGCACAGTACAGATAAAACCAAACAGTTTCCTTCATTATTATCAATGTAAAAAAGTCTTAGCTGTAGCTTTCATCATTTCTTGCTTGGATTATTATATTTCTTCCCATCGGTCTCCCTACCTCTATGTTGTCCCCTTCTAAGCCACACCTCACACTGCCCCCAAAGTAATCATTCTCAGACACAAATCCAATTCTGGCATTGACTTTGGCAGGGTATATATTGACTTCCTATCATCAAGTGTATAAAGTTAAACTTTAAAGAATGACAGTTAGCACTTCATGATCTGGCATTTCCTTCTCTCTCTCACCTCATTTTCAGGAGGCCCTCATCTGCTGTGTGACTCAGCCCTAACAGTTTCCCCTTGCAGTGTCCCAGGAGTCCAGAGTGTCTTCTGCTTGGTGAACTCAATCTCTCAGCTGTAGCTTTGGCACAACCTGATCTTAGAAGATGCCTTGACCTCCATTAGTTCTCCTAGGAGTCCTCTGGGACTCCCTAGTGAAAAATACATGCCTCTCGCATAGCCCATAGCCCACATTACTGTATTAATTGAAGCTGAGGGTTGTCTCCACACTGGATGGTGAGCAAGCACTTTGAAGAAAGGGACTGGCCCATCAACCTTTTATCCGCAGAGCTTGGCACTGATCTTGACCTTCAATTTTGCTCAGTAAGAACATGAATGAATGTCACTTTCTGGGGATGGTTAAAATAAGAGATTTTTATCCACTTGATTCATCTGAAAAGGTTTGTTCAAGTTTTGTTTACATGATTTTATTTTTGCACTTCTAGCCTTTGTAAATACAATATTTCAAAGTAACATTTTAGAATACTGGAGAAGATATATTTATGAATAAAAATATAAAATATGAAATATAGAAATGATATAGAAAAATATTTGGGTAAAAATATTTTTAAAGGTAAATACATGCATACTCATAAGTAAAACAAACCAGACCCATATGTATAAACTTCGTATTGTCTCACTAGTATGAGAAACTGAACAAGTTAATAAGATCCAAAATGTACAATAGATCATATGAACTAGGAAGAAACTGTTCAAATGGAAAGACAAACTGTGATGGGAGAAAGGGGAAAAGAAGGAAAGGAAAAAGAAAAATATATTTATACACAAGACAGTTAAGATAGTTACAAGACTAGTTTGTCTTAGTTCATGAAAAAGAAAGGTTTGCGTTAATATTGTTTGGACAAGATATCATGCCTATATCTTGTACTTCAAATAACTACTATGAAGACAATGATACACAATGTATTATTGTAATTCTTCTACTAAACCTGTTTTGAAACTCTGTTTTATTATGTTAATTTTTTCTCTTTAAAATAAGAAAAATGATCTTTAAAGGGAGATACTACCATGATAAGCATGGAATGGAATTTTTAAAATGCATTAGAAAACAACAACAGCAGCAACAAACAACTATACTGTACTACAAGATAAAGTTGAAACTCCTTGGTCTGGTTTCCAGAGCCTCTGTAATCTGACCCAAAATGACTTTCTGAATCATATCACTCACTGATTTCTGACACATTATTTTGTGCCTTATTTATACCTTTCCTCCTCATATTCCTATTTATTCTATTTGGACCCTTGTGAATATTTGCAACTTAAGGATCTATACCTTCTATTTCTTGAGTTTCTCTACCATTATACTTTAGAATATTGTTTATCTACACTTTGTTCACATCTTTGGAAGTTCTGTGAGGCAAATATGAGAATTTCTAGCTTTTTTTATGTCCCTCATCACTTTTATCTTTCTCCATGACCCTTCAGAGATGTTCTTTTTTATTTTCTAATTCATTTTCAAGTATGACTTGTCTTTCATGTCATCTATTTGCAAAAATTTAAAAAATTCTTAATGACTGTACTCTTACTTGACTTTTTAATACTTATTTCAGAATTTCATTTTTTACTTTATTCTTCTATATTTGAAACACGTGAGCGTACTTATTGTAAACTCCTTTTTCATATTGTTCTATTGAGATCATTAATTCTTTGAAATTTGGGCCTATTTGTTAAGTGTCTTGAATTTCTCCATAGTGAATTATAGAGAAATGCTAAGACAATAAATTCTAAGGAAGAAGAATGGCTTAAATAAAAGGCACAATAGCATAGAATAACTGTACAGTGCTTTGCATTCAAATTAAAAGGATTCAAGCACCCAGGAAACACGATTTGTTTGAATTTTGTTTTCTTGTGTATTCTGCTTACTCATTTTATTCAGAATTCATGGATTTGTAAAGCCAAGGAGACTTCATACAGGGTCTTCAGTTACTGAAGGAGAACCAGGGGATTTTATGTCAAGCCATACAGAATTAATACGGTAGATATAACCTCGGGGAATGTGTTTGTGCCAACAAAAGAAGCTTCCTTAACCCAGTGGGGAGAATTAGCTGCCTTTGTGGATGTCTGCTTAGCATTTGGACCTGAGTAAATGAATAAATGAATAGCTGCTTCTCAGAGCTACTTTCACAGGGAAATGTTTCTGAGTTCCAGTTCAGGGGAGCTCAGGAAGGTAGGGGATGCAAATTACATTCCAACACTGAACCAGCCAATCAAGGCTTGAACACTTTTGAGGTCTTTAGTTTTGACTGTGAATATGGGAACACCCAAGGGCACCTTCAAATTAAAAATAAACACACTGTTCTAAAGAGTCCTAAATGTATAATTTGGTAGAATTTTAAGGGATGTCTTTTTATAGTAACAGAGTCTTTAAAGAACATAAAATTCAGGTAAGGTTGTGTCCTTTGCAGGCTTAAGTGTATACAAAATGACATTTAACTCTAAATTAAAATAATTTGGGCGTACCCTTCCCCCCCTCAAACTTTGTCAGTTAAACACAATTCCAGCCAAGTTTTTATAATCTATTGGATGATATTATATCAACAAAAGAGCTAATATTAATTGTATAATTGCCCTGTGTCAAGGTATATATTATCTCTTACTATCCAACTAACCTTGTAGTGTTGCTACATTTACTACCTCCCACTTGCAGATCAGGAAAACAGATATAGGAGGGTTAATTAATTTACTTAAGTCACAGAGTAGATTTAAACTAGCATGAAATTCCTAAGGGTTGACTTTGTACTTACGTCCCTGCTTCAGAAGTTTTAGTTGGGTTCTCTTGGAGAATTTATATTTTCTTAAGATGAGAGGGGAAATTAATTTGTTAGTTTATTACCACTTGCTTCTGTCTAACCTCAACTACTCCATGTTGTCATGGGTCAATTATAAATTTTCTCTAAGCTTTTCTTCTGAAAAATCTATTATGACCACTAATCTTAAATTTAAATTTTAAGACAGGTGACTCCAAAACCCACTATGAGCCACTTTCATGTTTTCTACTCTCCACATTTGCTATAGTGTGGATGTTAAAGGCCTCCGAAGTCCATGTGTTAAAGGATTGGTTGCCAGCCCTTGGCACTATTGAGAGGTAGTACTACAGTGGGGAGGCATTATTGGGAGGCCCAGGAAGAGGACCTAGGTCATTGGGGCATGCCTTTAAAGGAGGTAGTGGGACTCTAGCTGTATACTATTTCTCTTTCATATTTGGCCACGAAGTGAACCATTTCCTTTACTACATGTTCCTGCCATGACATCACAGGCCCCCGAACAATGGGGCTACTAACCATGAACTGAAATCTCATAAGCTGTGAGAGAAAATAAACCTTTCCTTTTCAAAAATTGATTATTTCAGCTATTTTGTTACAGTAATAGAAAGTTGACTAGCACAATATTCTAACTCAGCTTGTTTTCTTATAAGCCTGGCACCTGTTGGCTATCCTATTGCCTGGCATCCACTTGCATTTTGTTTTTCTCAGAGTTATAGCTTAAATCTTAACTAGGAAAGACATGCAGTTTAGAATCCATAACTTCTGAAAAGTTGTACTTTAGAGTTCATCTAAGGGAAAGATCAAAGCTTTCTTCCTGTTTCCAATAAAGGCTTAGCTATTGTATTTTATATTTGTTTGAGACAAGTATTTTAAACTTGGAGAATTTTAGATAAGAAAGGAAAAAGAAGATAAGGTTAGTAAAAGTAGAAGTTTAAAATAAATTATCTTCACTATGGAAAGCATTATGGGAAACCTTCTCTAGAAGACTTCAGTGTTTTTCACCTGTCCTCTCCCCATGGGGCTATGAGGATGAACTCCTCCCCTTTTCAAGCTTCCTTCCGAATCTCCAGTGTTGTTATTGACGATTCTAATCCAAATGCTGTTTGAGACAAGTATTTTAAATGCTGCCCTATAATGCCAAATTCATGGGAAAGCAATGGTTGGATAAAAAAGGGAAAATAAAAAATGATCATCTTTATCATTTTCTTCACTGTATTTTCACAGAAAGCACAAAAGCTTACATATACTTGTAAGCTCGTTTCTACCAATCTATACAGTTTCAGAAAGTGAAAGGAAAAGCAGATAATGTTACTAAAGCCCGCGCTGTACAGGGCAACAATCAGAGAGAAAAGATGAATCTCAATACCTTTTTTCTTTGCAAATATGCTTAAGGAAAGCTGAAGGATTCAAGGAGCCAGCAATCTCCTGGGAGGGGAAGAATAACTGCTCTGGCCGCAGTGATTGGCCATAGTGGCTGCTCTCGAGGCAAGGAATCAGCCGTGGGAAGACCTCCGGTGAGAAAGGGAGGAGTCAGGTGGCAACTTTCGCAAGGCTACATTTCCAGGTTTGTGAGATTTTAATTGCTAGCGTCGGAAGTTGGAGGAATTAATACTCTGGACAGTATGGCGTGTTCTAAAACTTGATTGGAGATATACATTCTTGGCATCGCTCAAATTCTGTAAGCTTTCACCATTTATGATATTCAAGAGTCAAAGCTTCATAGTTTAGATAAAAGAAGGAAAGGTTTTAAGGCAATTTACTGCTAAAAGCATTAGTGAATACTTACTATTTGCAATTCATTGCACTTGGTAATGAATGTGAGAGAGATGCAAAAACTCTTTCTGTGTCATTCTTCAAAGAATAAAGCATTTCCAAAATAACTAGGTGACAAGCTACACTGCTAATTATTCATGCCAATTTACTAATCATTTGTAGTTGAAATATGGTGTCGTAAAAGGCTACACAAAGCCTTGTGACTAAATTCATTTTAGTTTCTTAAGACACATAGCATGAATACAAACTAACTTCAAATAAATATCTCATCTTTTAAAAATCATGCATAGTTTAAAACTTTCCATAATTCTAATATTTGGAATACTTCTTGTACAAAGATGACTAAGGCTGCTTCTCTTAAGAAATTCCCTCATGTATATAATTTAAAAAACATTTAGTTAGCAGCTACTAAAGGGCAAGGGTTTTTTTAATGTTGGAAGTGTAGCAAAGAATAAAAGTACACAAAGACTAAGCTTTAGCAGACTACATAAGTAATGATAAATGTGGATAGTGCTTAATGAAGAAAAGGGAAGTAATAGGTGAAGAGTGACTAGAAGATACCAGCATGTATGGTCTCTTCTTGGGTATGCAGGGGTCTGGGAGGGGCATGAGAGTAATGAGTCAAAATAAATATTAGGAAAGAAAACTGCAGTCAAGTACTCAAGCATTGCATAAGAACATTTCAGTCAATGATGGATAGCATATACTGTGGGTTTCCCATAGATTATGGAGCTGAGACGTTCCCATCACCTAGCGATATCATAGTCACTGTAACATCCTAGCACAATACATTACTCATGTATTTGTGGGGAAATTTTACTGTGCTGCCCGTTATATAAAAGTATAGCATATAAATTATGTACGGTATGTACTATGCATATTTTGGCACTGAACACAGTAACTGGCAGGTTGTAAGTATCCAACAGATGCTTATTACTTAGAAGCACTGTAATAAGAGGTAACCTTCAGTGTAATTTTTTTTTTTTTTTTGTGTGTGTGTGTGTGTGGTTTTTCTCCGGTATGGGGAACCGAGCTCATGACCTTGCGCTTGCCAGGCAGGTGCTTTTGCCGCTGAGCTAAATCCCCAGGACCCCTTCAGGGTAATTTTGGACCAATATAAGCAGATATGTTGAACCAAAGAAATAATAAAATGCTATTTTCAAAATTGTTCTCTAGGAAAAAAACCACAGCTGATTTTGGTGAAGAAAAATGCATATTTTTTGAGACAGGATGATTATGCAATTCAGGTTGGCCTTGAACTCACTAGGTAGCCCAAGCAGGCCTCAAACTCAAGATGATCCTTCTGCCTGAGCCTCCAAAGTGTTGGAATTACAAATGTGTGCCACCATGCCAGGCAAAAAATGCATTTTTTAGGTAAGGAAGAATTTTAAAAATTAAGTTCTCATTACTGTCCTTGCAATATAAACAATTTGCATATGAGGAGAAACAAATTGTATTGGCTGCTTTTCTTGAGTGTCATTCTTCTAGTCCTTTTTATAATAACAATAATAATAATAATAACTTTAGTTTATTAAGCACAAAGTATATAGTAAATACCAGTAGGTACCTTGTATATATTATATAAGATTCTCATTTAGTCCTAAAAGAAAGTCTTTAAGATGGGTATAATTAACTTCAATTTGTAGCTGACAGAAATAATGTGGGTAAAGTCAAAAATTAGGTGAGCCTAGGCTCTAACTTAGATCTCCTCATGCAACAGGGTCATTAACCTGCACAAGGACCATGCTTCACAGGGCCAAATCTCAGCATTCTGCATATTTCACCCAATGTGATTTTTGCAGTTTTCCTTTAAAAGCTGTTTCATGTCTTTGCATCCAAGTATATGAGTGGCTAAACTGGGTACAGACGGCCTAAAAAGGAAGTCTCAAAAAAGTTGTATAAAAGAACTTTTACTGGCAAACATTGCTTCACCCGTTTTTTGCTGCTGTTTTTAAAAGATACTAGAGGAATGGATTCCCTTCCCTAGTCTTGAAAGTTCTTTCTGACCACTGGACCCATTTAAATGATTTCAACTACTACTTATATACTGCCAATGACTGCTGAAACCTGGCTTCCATACAATGGTGTTAAATCCCCATTCCAACTTTTTAAGGCCCCCTGACATTCCCCACATTGAACTCGCCATGTGCACTCGTAAATGACCCCAACCCTGTTTTATACATTTTGCCCATGGTATTGTTATGTAATCAGTTGCTGATGCTTACTTTAATAATTCTTAACAATTTCTCACCATTATAACCTACATCAGTCACCAAGTTCGGTCCAGTCCACTCTCTAGACCTTCCATTTATTCACTCAAAATATAGCAGACATGTATACACCACTCATTCTGTGTGCAAGATACTGGCCTGGTTGTTTCACCTGTATCCCTGCCTTCCTTTTCGAATCAAGGCCTTCACCATTTCTTTGAATTAAAAAAAAATACCATCCAACCTTGTGTGTCAGCTTCCACTTTCCTTATATTCCATGCATATTTTCTACTGTGGTAAGAATAATGTTCCCAAAGTACAAATAAAATATTGTAACTATTGGCTTTAAAGGATTTCTCTCTCCCCTGGAGTTTCTTGTGCTTACATTTTCAAAAAGCATCCACAGTTTGCTACATTTTGGTTCAAATCTTGCTTTCCTGGCTAATCTTCTGACCTCACACTCTTAATGTTCAAGAAGAGTTATTCGTCTGACATACTGCACACTCACCAACTCATTTCTTTGAAAAGGTTGCAATCTCTGGTAGTGTTGTCCTTTGATCTTATCCTTGCCTTGAACTTCAAGATTTATCTTAAATATTACTTTGACTGTGAACCCTTCTTGGATGTGCCCAGGAAGACTGGATCCCTCCTTTCAGTGTACTTTCAGAATGAAGGGTGTGTCACTATATCATTTATTACTAAGAAACTGAATACATAAACAGGGAATGGCTAGGGAATATATAAAAATTGAACTCTGGCCCTCAACGTTCAATAACTTCCTCAATAAAACACTCCCAGCTTATCCACAATAAATAGTCCAGGAAGATGGCCCGTAATAAGTCAAACATGTAGGAAATCCTACTACTATCACTAGTCTCTATCTCAGGACCAACCAGAGAAAGCCAAATGTGTACCCCAACCAATCACATAGGATGCTCTGCTCTTAGTTATCAGTAGCCTCCAGTCAGTACATAATTGAAGCTTTTCCTTTTCTCCCAACTATAAAGCTTCTTTCTCCTCTGAGTTTCTGTAAAAGTACAAGGGAAAGAAAACATGCTACAGAAAATTCTCAATAAATAGGCCTTGCTTTTCACATTTTGTTTATTTTTAATTGTTTCCACTTTTACCTAAGCAGAGTTTGCTATATGAAGTTGCTCAATATTTTTTTTATTGCTATGGTCGTTTTTCTTGAATGGCTACTGCCACTGCTGCCACTATATTGTACTTTTCACAATGATCCAACTTTGTCCTGATAGATTGCCTTCTAGGGAAAAGCTATAGAATCTGTAATGATGTCTTTTCTTTAATCTTGAAATGAATAATTTTGTGTGTTTCCTTTAATAGTTTAGCTAGTTGTTTATTCGTATTAATAATGCCAAAGACCTATTTTCAGGTTTCATGAGTTTTCTCAATTTTTTTGCCTTTGATTTCTGCTCTTTTTATTCTTTTCCTTCTTTGAACTTCAGGTTTTTTTTTTTTCTCTACCTAGCTTTCTTATGGTAGAAGTTCAGATTCTAGTAAATTTAGATGATTGTTGATATATTTTTTTTCCTAATTGTGTTAGTCATCTTTTGATTGTTGTGAAAAAATACTTGGAGAAAATCAATGAAAAATGTAAAAAAGTTTACGATTTTAGAGGTTTCAGTCTATAGTCACTTTGGGCTTATGGTGAGACAGGTTATCATGGCAGAAACTACATGGAGAGCACAGTTGTTCACCTCATGGAAGCCAGGAAGTAGAGAGAGAAAAGAAGGGGCCAGGGCCTCAATATACCCTTTAATGGGAAGCCCCAATCACCTACTTCCTCCAGTTAGGCCCCACATCCCAATGTTTTCATTACCTCCCAAGAGCGCCGTCACCTGGGGAGCAAGTCCTTAATACATGAGACTTTGGGGGACATTTGAAATCCAAGCCAAAACACTAACATAAGTAGAGAGCTCATTGCAAGTCTTGGTTTTAGTTTTTGCTTGGGTAGGTCTAGAGGAAGCTTTATTTTAAGAACAGATTATCCATTAAGATGTAGTCACCTCTGCAGTCTTCACTGCAATTCCTGAAAAAAGGAAATCAATGAGGGCTCTGCATCTTATGGGGTGGTAATGAAAATTATTTCTGTGCCTGTATGGATAATGGAAGGCTATTCGTCTCAACTTCCTAGTTGTCTTTTTGCTCACGTTTTAGAGTTTCACTCTCTGCATGCTCATCTCTGTGTTTTTTAAAGACTCACGGGGTGAGTTTTTCCTTGCCATTTACTAGCACTTCAGACTTCCTAAACTTCAGGCTCTGTCTCCTCAGTTATAAAACACAACTGTTCCTAGCATGGAATCCCCCTCTGCTCTGCAGTCTGGAATGTCTTCCAGGCAGAAATTCTGGCCAGCTGTAGAGCTCAGCATGTTTCTTCTCGTGTCTTTCATTCACATTCTTGTGCTGTCTTTTGTCTGTCTGAAAAAAGTTGCTTTTTTCTATATATTTCTCCAATGTTATAGTTGACTAAGTCACGAAGGTGACTCTAGTCCTTTTTATTCCAAAGCTGCAGCCCTGTGCAGCATCTCTTTTGGCCCACTTTGGGCCATCATCCTTGCTG